TGTCCTCCAGCAGTCTAAGCCTGTAGCAGCATATAACTATAGAGAAAGCTCAGGATAACCTGAGCCACTCTAAGATTTATTAAAAAGCAAAGTAGACGTTTCTCTCATGTCGTGCAGCCCTAAATAGGCCATGAATCCAGTTGGATCATAACCAGAAGCAGCTTGAAATGACTGACTCTCTCCATGTTTTGGTTTAAACATCAGTTTTGCTGCAGTTTGTTGTTTTGTCTGTTCCGTGTCCATAACTGTCCCTTCGTCAATAACGGCGTCCCGTTAAAGTCCCAACAGTGTCTCCTTCCTCGCATTGTCTGCTTCAAACCTCCCGACGAGCGATGAGCAGATAACCTGACCCTGTTTTTGTGCCATCAGAGCAAACATCAGAAGCATCAGGCGTTCGAGGCCGAGCTCCACGCCAACGCCGACCGCATCAAAGGAGTCATTGACACAGGAAACGCCCTCATCCAGAGGGGAGCGTGCGCCGGCAGCGAGGACGCCGTCAAGGTAAGCTCCGCACAGCTGCAGGAGGTTGTGACATCACTGACCCAATCACAGAGAGGCTGTTCAAAGGACGGTCGGGTTGGTCGGCCATGTTAACACAAAGAAAACTGTTTTGTTTTGACTATACCAAGAAAACAAGTTTTTTTTTTTTTGTTTAAAAACCTTTATTAATGATTTCTTGTTTCCATAGAATAAAAATTTATTTTCTTATTAACTGATAAGTCATCCATCATCCATTCAGCTCAGAACCTTTAGCTCAGATTAATGTCGATATTTTCATATTTTTCTTTGTTTTTATAGAATAAATGATTCTAAAGTTTAACGGAACAAAAATCTGTGGAGGTTGGTTGTAGCCTGAGAAGCTGATAACTGCTTTATCATTTCCTGTTTTCAACATATTATATATATGCTTTTTCAAAAATAAATTGTGTTATTTAGATTCAACATGTAACACGTTAAGCTCTTTCACTCAAGCTAATCTCTAATAACGAGAACGTCTCACTTTGTAACAACCTCAACACTGAAGAGGAAGTCTGTAGGCGAAATAATCTGATTTGATTATTGATTTAAATACATTTTGTTCTAGAATCCGCTAACAGATGGGATCATAAACTAAATTTGGTTTTGGGTTAAGCCAGAGGTGGGGACTCGAGTTTTTAACTCGTACTCGAGTCGCACTTAAGTCGCATATTTAATGACTTCAGACTCGACCGAGACTTGTTAACAATATTTTATTTTTTAAGTGTTTTTTGTTTCACTAACTTGACTGATCGCCGCTCGCCTTACCTGCACACAGCAGAGGTTATAAAAAAAATGTATTTTTCACTTACCAGTTCAAGATATTGATCATTCCATAGATATAGTAGCGACCTTTAAGCTATACCGTTTCAGTGAAGGAGATGAAAACACAAGGAGAAACAAGCAAGCACGCAAATTATTGAACTTATTTTAAGTAATCATGTGATTAGAATTTATTGTGTGATTAATTTAATATTGCAACAGGCCTACTCTAGACTTGAGACTTGACTTGGACTTGCAAAAAATGACTTGTGAACATGTCTGGGTTAAGCTAAAAGAAACCAAAACATTCTGATTAAAGAAAGGTTGAAACAAAATGGCGACTATTGACTCTAGTGTGGATGGATTTTATTGATAATTTCTGTTATATTTAGTAAATCAACTGAAAAAAAATGAGATCAAAATCAACAGACAGATAAACTGATTATTGTTTCTGTGTTGTAAATTGCTCAGGAGGAGTTCTGTAGGATTATTAGAATATTTTGGATTCTTTTCAAATTAATCAGCAGAATTTTCAGTTTTTTCTTGTTTGATTTTAACGTCTGATGGCGTCTATCAAAATACCTCAGACTGGTATTTTTTCTCCGTATTGTCATTGAACTTAGCATTTTTCTGACACTTGAGAGCATCTACTCCTTTGCAGCTAGGGGGCGCTGTTTGTTTCTCTGAACTGGACTAATGATAACGAGGAACATTTAATCATGTAGAAACATTTAAATGGATAGATACGTAGAAGCCAGTCATCTAGAACCTGAGTAAAGTCCCAGTCTGGATGGTTCCTGATTTGATTGTAGATTTATTTCGCTCCGTGTTTTCCCTCAGGCTCGGCTTAACGCTCTGGACGAGCAGTGGAGGTTCCTGGTCAATAAATCAGCAGAGAAGAGCCAGAAGCTGAAGGAAGCCAACAAGCAGCAGAACTTCAACACCGGCATCAAGGACTTTGATTTCTGGCTGTCTGAGGTGAGGCTCGGCGACCCGAGCGGGACCGTTTAGCACCGTGGTTCAGGTTCTGATCATGACTCCTTTCCTGCTCCTCAGGTTGAAGCTCTTCTGGCATCGGAGGATTACGGCAAAGATCTGGCTTCAGTCAACAACCTGCTGAAGAAACATCAGCTGCTGGAGGCTGACATCTCTGCTCATGAGGTACGCCGCAGCAGAACCAGAACCCCCCGTGGTCCCGGCCGGGAGTTCTCTCTGATCTGAGCCGGTTTTCTCCTGCAGGACCGTCTGAAGGACCTGAACGGCCAAGCCGACAGTCTGATGGCCAGCAACGCCTTCGACACCTCGCAGGTGAAGGACAAACGCGACACCGTCAACGGCCGCTTCGCCAAGATCCAGAGCATGGCCGCCGGCCGCCGCGCCAAACTCAACGAGTCGCACCGCCTGCACCAGTTCTTCAGGGACCTGGACGACGAGGAGTCCTGGATCAAGTAAGACCTCCTTCTGCCGCCCCTCGTCGATGTTTGCTGCCTTTAGCTGAGCGCTGCTGTGGATCCTCTCAGGGAGAAGAAGCTGCTGGTTGGATCAGAGGATTACGGACGTGATTTGACAGGAGTTCAGAATCTGAGGAAGAAGCATAAGAGGCTGGAAGCTGAGCTGGGAGCGCACGAGCCGGCCATCCAGGTAGGATCACCGCATCTCTGGGATCAGTCCACAACCTCAGCTACTGGTTCTCCTCACTTCAGGTTGTTCTGTTTCCCCTCAGTCTGTGTTGGACACTGGGAAGAAGCTGTCTGATGACAACACCATTGGTCAGGAGGAGATCCAGCAGAGGCTGGCCCAGTTCGTGGACCACTGGAAGGAGCTGAAGGATCTGTCTGGAGCAAGGTTGGACCTTCTGATCCAGAGAGTCGGACTAGGCCCTGGGAGCCAGTCTGAAGGTTTTTTTTTTGTGGTTTCAGGGGAAAGAGGCTGGAGGAGTCGCTGGAGTACCAGCAGTTCGTGGCGAACGTGGAAGAGGAGGAAGCTTGGATCAATGAGAAGTTGAATCTGGTTGGAAGCGAAGATTATGGCGATACGCTGGCAGCGGTTCAGGTGACCTCCCGCTCCGGGTCTGCTCGCTTTAAATCCTCAGAGTCCTGAGATGTTTCACATGTAAAACCTGTTGTTTCTCCCCTTAGGGTCTGCTGAAGAAACACGAGGCGTTTGAGACGGACTTCACCGTGCATCGGGACAGAGTCAACGACGTCTGCGCCAACGGAGAGGAGCTCATCAAGAAGGTCGGCTCATAGAAACCAGAACAAACCGACTCAGAGCTGTTCTGCTGAAGATGAACCTAACTCTGCTCTGTTTCCACCAGAACAACCATCACGTGGACAACATCCGCGCCAAGATGGCCGCCCTGAGGGGGAAGGTGTCTGAGCTGGAGAGGGCGGCGGCTCAGAGGAAAGCCAAGCTGGACGAGAACTCGGCCTTCCTGCAGTTCAACTGGAAGGCCGATGTGGTGGAGTCCTGGATCGGTACGTAGCAGAACCACACCAGTCCTCCTGGCTCTGGTGTCTGATTGGTCAGAAAAGTAGAGTGGGTGTGGCTAGTGGATATAAGCGTCGAGTTACAACAAAATCCAAACTTTTCTGGTTGGGCATTTTCTTAATCAGGTTCTTGGTCGTATTTATTAAATAAAGTGTGGGGTGTACCGTAATTTTCGGACTATAAGCCGCGACTTTTTCCAAATTTTTCGACCTTGCGGCTTATATAACAATGCAGCTTATCTATGGACTTTTACAGCTAACGGCCACTAGGGTAATACCTAAATCTATGGATTTTACCATCCACCATGTTGACGTCACATTTGCTTCAACACCAGGGTTCCCGCAGGTCCTTAAAAAGTCTTAAAAGGCATTGAATTCTTCAAAATAAAACTAAGGCCTTAATTGGTTCTAAAATGTCTTAAATCAGTCTTTCGTAGGTCTTAATTTTTAAAACATCATAAAT